CCCCCCCCCCCCCCCCCCCCCCCCCAGCGGTGTCACGGACGCAGCTGTCATGAACAGAATTCACACGCTCCCGATTGCACGATGAGCAACTGTCATCTGGACCCCCAAGAGTACATACCCTAAATCTGTGAGCATCTGTGTGGATACTTTTTATTTTAACACTTTTGTTTTTTAGCTCATGCCAAGCAGCGAAGTGTTGTTCTGTCCACAATCGATTGACGTCACGCTGCCTTGACAGAAGACCTTTGAACTCTGAGAACATTTTTAGTGTTGTTTAGCAATAAGGTGGTATTTCAGTATGTGTCCTCCGTCTTTGATCTCAGCTAAATTAAACAAAAATGTTTTTGTATGGTATATTTTTTTTTTCAGTGTATTGATTAGAATTATGTTATGATGCATATACCAGAGACCATGATGGTGATATTAAATCGTTCTTAGCCCGTTGTCCTACCTGTCTGGATCCAACATGTTAACAGACTCTTTAAAGCATATTGCTGACTTGCAACTGGGAACCAAACAGGAGCCAACTGGGGCCACAGTTCAAGTGTTGCCATGCTGTGGCATTAGACGACTGCTGAACTCAGACTAAATAAGTGGGTGGAAGAACACCCAAGGTTTGCACTGGGTGTTGTTCTTCTCAGTCCTGTAAATTCCCAGCCACAGGCGCAGACATAGCATTCCTCAGTAGTCACTGAATTTATGGGTTTGTGGGATGGGGGCAGTGGTCTGTTTTTGTAAATAAAGTTGTTTCTTTGTGTGTTATAATGCCATGTGTTTGTGTCATTTCCTGCCACTGTGTGTGTGAGAGAACCATCGCTTAGCCAAAGGATTCATGTCTGCATTTGTCTCAATCAAATGAAGACATTAGAGATCCAATATAACCTTTTGTGAGTTGTCATTGTTTCTGCATTGGAACAGTATTTATGCTGTTTTGGTTAAAAGTGAAATTGTGTAAATTTGACTGGTTTGATTTTTGTCTTTACAGGCAGAACAACCACGTAATTTGTGCTGTCTGAAAACACCCAAATTCCTCTAAATTCATGCGGTGCATCTGTAACAAACGGGCTCAACAGTTAAAATGTGCTGAAGTGGACAAACGCTTCAGTGAGATTAGCCAATCAGGTCCAGTTGGGATATGTTCGTTTGAGTTAAGAGGTTATTATGAAAACTAAAAGGTTGAGATTTTCTTTTCAATCGTTTTTTTAAAATATGGCCAACAGAACAGCGCCCTGCAGTGACTTTCATCCAGAAGATGTGCTCCTCATTTTAAGTCCACAGGGAAAGCAACATCTGGATCTATTAGAATGTCCATCCAGGAAAATTATGGTTTCGCCAGTTGCTGGATAGCAGCCAAACAATGTACTCCAGTAGAAGTACTGTTACTTTACAAAAAACAACTCAATGAGTGTTGAGTAAGAGTACAAAATAATAAAAAGTCACCAGCAAACTACTCGTCTGCAGAAGGTAGCCCATCTGATCTTAGACTGACGTGAACGTTATGGGTCGTTAACGTGTTCGGTCTAAAAATCACCGCGAGGGGAAACGCCGGCCGTAGGCCACCGCTTTGCTGCCTTGAACGTGGGGTCACGTGGACCTGTGGCGGCGGTGACGTGACCGAGCGCCAGCACACCAGGGGCCATCAGAATGACAGTAAAAAAGTACATGGGGGAAAATGAAACATACATGAAAAAGACAGCCTATAAAACGTTCACAGTATATACAGCAGTGTATACTTTATTGCATGTCTGGCCACCAATCACGATTTAACGGTAATCAGCCAACTGTGTGTGTGCTGCCTCTGGTCTGACTCTAAGCACATTCAACAGACACTTAACTCAATCATGGTTTTTGTCACACAGTAGAATAACAAACTCTCTGCTTGTTGACCCATCAAGCTGATTTGTCAAGAGATGTACAAGTCTAATGCATAACACAATACAAGAAAAAGGTGTTGAAAAAAGTTGAATACAATTACTCCCAACCTCTTAAAAAAAGACATCGACACTTCAGACACTTGGAGTGGTCGAGATATAGTTCCCTCGGGACCCCAGCCAAACCATCTTGCACCTGCACATAACGAATAGTGCTTGAGGAGGATTTAAGTGTATCAATGTAGCTGTTGTCCTTAACAAAGACATGCTCTCTGCCCACAGCCCAGCAGGAGAATGGTGCTGGGCTGACTTTGTTTGTGTGTGATGTGTAATTTGCACAATGTGCCCATCTATAATAT